CATTTAAAATTTATTTTTATTTTTTAAAAATAGTTGGCGCTTTATCTTAGCCTGAGTCGCCTTCCACCGATTTGCAACTTATTGCAAAAAAAGCCTATGAAATAAAGCGAAAAAAAAAATGAAACACAATTCGAAATGATTTAGTTAGACAAAGCGGACCGCCAAACCCTCAACATCTGCTCAGAGAATTCACAATCTAAATTTTCTTTGTCAAAGAATTTATAATTCCTGATCTATTTTGCTCATAAGATATCAGAAATTCGTCATTGTTGTCATATTAAGATTTCTTTTTGCAAAAACTTTCTCATATCGGAAGAGGTTTTATTTAATTGCTGTATCATATGGATCTACTCGTATGTCAATGCCAAAGCCCATCAAAATGTATTAGATAGACATGCTTAAGCCGATTGAGAAAATAGTTTCGAATCGATTGGTATCGATTGAAAGGGTTAGTTTATCTCAAGCCCTTCTTGAGCTATTGTATACATCCGTAGAAACTTACAGTTAGCGGTGTAGGGTAACATATCGTAAGCACTTCACTTAAGTAGCCTTCATTATTATAATAAAGATGATAACAATTTAAACTAAAATTTACGTCAATTTGGGGGAAAACAAAAGGTTCCGGTTTAGCTCTTTCAAATTCCTTTGACTAGTTCACGGAATTAACTCTACTACTTGCAGTGTTTGTTATAGTTCATATGAACTTATTGTCATGTTATCGCGTTAAATAGAAGAAAAAAATTGAATTCGCGCAATAATAACATCAATAAAATCAATCAATACCTTTGGATTAATTAGATTGAAAACCAGAAATGATTAAATGAAGAAAAATCATTTTTAATAAAGCTTGGAGTCTTGGAGCTGATCTTTCTTTTGGCCAATGAATGGATATACAGACCGAATTATTACAATATGTTCATCACACTCAGTTGGGCTTATCCGCCCTGAATAGATTTTCTTTCGACAAGACTGATTCTACACATGACAACTGCTGTGTGGAAATGTTCACTAATTCCTTCCGAAGTGACGAGTAAATGTGATTTCATCTTTTACTTGTAAACACAAGACCATCCGATGTCTCAAATGTTTGTCAAATGTCTAAAATTATGCCTCATGGATCTTAAAAATTACATGTGTAGAATTGGTCGGCTTGAAAACATGCATCTATTTCGCTGGCACTCCCCCCATTTTTCCAATTAGGAATGCAAAAGGTAGCAATAATATCTCAATAAGCACCGTTTAAATATCCAGTGCTTTTTTGGCCCGAATTAGGTTTGCGTGCTAGTACTTCAGAACTGTTCATTTTATATATATTACCCAAGCTTGACAGGATAGCAATGTTGCGTTTGGAAGGCGTAGTTATTTGGAATTCGCTGGTTAGGAGAACACAATGAGAATTAAGAGAGAACCCTGCGATGGAATTACTTTTCGATATTTTTAAATTGGCCTTCGATCGATTTAATTAATTTTTAAACACTTTAAAACTATATATGCAACTTGGGCTCTTTCTGATCTTAGAACGAAAGCGAAATTAGTCCGAACTTTTTTCTACGGATGCGTATAGGTCTAAATATACAGGCTGTATGTCCTAATCAGAAATGATATGTTTTGACGGTGTATGGATTTAGGAATTTTTTGTGAATATTTTTTGACGAACCACGTGATCTTGCGAGTTAATATCAGCACCAATTTCATTAAAGTACCAGACAATATATCCTTCAAATGTTAATAGTTTAATGGGCAGTGTGAAATCTTGCGCCGTCTGGATCGAATTCTCCAAATCAAGCAATTTTTGCAAGAATAATTGTTCGCCGTCGTTAACGCCGACGCGAACGCCAGTATATTTTAAACGAAGTAAACCCATTTCTAGAATCATCTTGAGTGCAAGTGCGCACCAATCAGTCTATCAGTGTAAAAAGCAAATGTTAAACAGCGAGGCTTAGATGCTGCATTAACTGTTCGCCAATTATTTTTTGATTCTCTGTAGCTTAAAGCTAATGGCTTTGCTTGAGACACTTGAAAAGGTAACTGACTCATTTCTTCTTCGGTAAAGATGATTTTTCTTCGAGGAATACATTGTATATGTAATAGCAACAATGAAGATACATATGTTGTTTAAAAAGAATGGGTTACATCTCCTTGGTAAAGTGTAGGGTATTATATGACAAGTCTTGAACTAAGTTCTCTTTTTCTTTCTCCCATTCAATCTCTGAATTCCCTTTTAATTTGTTTATAAATGCTAATGAAAGTGTTTAATTTTAGATCTCATTTTTCTCATTAATTGCAAATTTTTTTTTTTTTTTTTTTTGTAAATTTGTCTAAGGTTTCCTCGAATATTTTCACAATTTAACATAAGTTTTCAATAGTGTTTGGTCAGATTTGGTTTGTTTGTGCAAGCATTTGGTTCAGCGACAATTTTTAGGCCAATATGTAGACTAATGCATACACGTACACATACACATAAACATATTCACTTGCTTAAGGCAACGGCAGACTGTTGCTTTTCGTTGCTTTCGTGCTAAATGAAAATAAATTATTTCATTTCAGACGAAGGGGAAAAGAAAAAAGCTCTCTAGGCCTATTGCCAACAAATTTCTATAAAAAACAATTAGCTAAACATGTTTTAGTTGCACTCCGTTCGACGTATAGATGACAGTGTTCTTCTTAAAATTACACTTTGTTTTTTAACTTTTAATATAATACGTTGTGTTGTCATGTGTTTGCCGTTATTATTATTATTATTGTTAATTATTATTATTTTCCTTTTTCTTTGTTTTTCAATTAAACTTTACAAAAAAAAAAAAAAAAAATTGTTAAAGAAAGGAGAGAATGTCTTTTAAGGCAGCTGATTAGAGTTGATTTTGTTTACTTTATTTTTGGCTACGAGTATTTAAACATATTCGTTATCTAAAAATTGATTGAACACAAAAAAAATTGATCAGTCTTTGCTTAAGGTTGCTACATATCGCATATGAGGAATTTGGTATAATGTTTAGGAAACGTGTGTCTTCTTGCTTTTCATATTCAATGATCAATCATTTAAATTCACGAATGGCATTCAATTACTCAAAATACCATTAAAGTTTTGAGTTTCAGTTACGAAATTTGTATTCGCAAATTTGTATTTGCTCTTCTGTCTGATCGGTGCTGTTCTCGTTTAGAAATTGAATTGGTAAAGAGATTACAAGCAACTTTTCACTGAGCATTTAAATGCATATGGAAAATGGAAAATATTCTTAACATTAGATTGACTGCTTCTGATATGATGTATTATTTATTGATATTTCCATTGTTCCTCGATTTTTTTTTCTTTTTTTCGAATATATTCGTGTTGTACTCATGTCCGCATATTTGTTCGACAGATCGCCCCTCTGTCTGTCGTGTTACGCAGTGCAAGATTAATTGTCCCAAACATTATAATGGAAATCTAAAGTTTGCCATAAACATTTGTTAAACATAGGACGCCTATACATCTATCGTTTATAAGAAAATGATCAAAGACTTGAAATAAATAAGCTCACAGTGAGTTAAGTCCTGTAAATTATGCATAGCAGATCTAGTTGATCTAGAACTTTGTACAAGTATTTCACAAGACCAATAATACGACGAACCTATGAATAAGACTATCGAGTGAGTGAGCTAGCCATCATATTCAATGTCCACGAACTTTTCAGGCGAAGAATTTTCCCAGTGCAAATGCTCCGACTTACTCACTTCGTTTGACGCGATCTGATTGAGATTAACAGGTGCATATCGAAAAGTTAAATTTATAAAAATTGAAATTTTACGAAATTTTTCAATTAGAATTCGGCTTTTGTATTAGCGACAATCCCTTTAAATCTGTCATTTTCTGCATCGATTAGTGAACCGAACTTTCGCATCTACAGGAATTTGGGGAGAAAATCGGTGATCGGTGAATACGTTATTAATTTAGATTCACAGATCAAATTAATTTGTCTGAAATGCACCTTTTTACTAACTCCTGAACTAAAATGAAGTGCAAGTGTAGAGTCTTGATAAACCAACCAAGTCAGTTACCAAACGATTGAGATTTTTTTGGAGTGGTAGAGATGACAAACCGCCACAATTTCTGTAATATTTTTATCAAAGGAATAAATATTTATATAAAATTGATTAGTATTCTCTTTTCTATTAACACAAGTGAAATGTTTATCCCATTAATTAACGATAACAATAGTTTATGTACTCTGAAATTGATGCAAATCTAGTACTTAGTCCGCATCACAAAACGCTATTGGTTAATAAACTTGCAGCAAATGGGCTTGCGTCACTTTCAAAATAAACGGCCCGCATATATCACATGCCCTGACTCTTATCACCAATTTGGAAATTTTCTCGATTATTTATTAACATATACATATAAATAAACAAAGTTGAGAAGCTGAGTTTATTAACGTAAAGAGCAATAACAAACTGTAATGTCTTAAAAATATATAGCGAAATCTTCAATAAAAAGCTCTCTTGCAAAATGTAGGCGATATACTCAATAAATAATATTAACGCCTACTTTTCTTGCATATCTTGTATGTGTGTTATCTGCACTCCGCAGCTTCTTCTTTTCCCACATTTAATATGTAGTTGCATGAAATCATATTTAACACTTGGTCGTGTTTTTTGTTGATTCGCTTTAAAAAACAAAAAAAGCCTTCTACTTATCTTTAAGTAGAATTTGATTTCAAACATAAATAATTCTGTTCACGCAATTCTATCTAGTGTGTGAAAGGGAAAAGAGGAAAAAATAAAAGCTAAACAAATGTTCGTGAAAACCTCTATGGCACAAATATGGGTCGATGATTTATTGGGCGATGTACTCTATTTGAAAAACAATTGTGTTAGTATTGCGAGTATAGAATAAAATATAAAATGCTTACATCTATATATATATATATATATATATATATATATATTTATAAGAAAAATAAAAACTTTTCTAATAATTGTTTTTTTTATTTTTATTTTCTCGCCTTTCGTTCTCGTAGCTGGAACTATTGCAACGTCAGGTTACCGATTTGGCCGATACACAAAACAATATTGCCGACGATCGCACCACACGCACAAAAACCGAATATGCGGTCTTACAGGCGCGTTATCACATGCTCGAAGAGCAATTTCGCGAAGTAAGTCGCCAATATGCCGAATTTCCTTTCGATTATGTTTAATTTGAAAAATTATAAATTATCTTTCCAGGCCGAATTGAGATCGGAAGAACGCTTGGCCGAAGAACAGAAACGTCATCGTGAATTGTTGGCTCGTGTGGAGCGTGAGGCTGCATTGCAGAATGAAAATTGTCAAATTAAAATTAAAACGACAGAAATTGAGGCGAACGCTCTGCGCGAGGAAAATCAACGTTTAAGACTCTTGTGCGATAAACAAGCGAACGACTTGCATCGCACTGAAGAAAAACTGGAATTGGCACGCGATCAAATTGTTGCATTGCAGCAAGATCTTGATGATGCCACGAAACGTGAGCGCAAATATGATCAGGAGAAGAAATCAGCCGAAGATCTTATGCTTGAATTGAGTAAAGAAGTGGAACGTTTAAGAGCCGAAACAGGACCCGCCATGCCCACTACATCGCTAGAGTCTATAAGACTAGAAGAATTGCATCAAGAATTAGAGCAAATGAGACAAAAGAATAAAAGTGAAGATATATATATTTTTTTTGTTATTGCCTCTCAAGTCAAAAATATCTCTTAACTATTGCAATTTACAGGTTTGGAGGAACAAAATGAAGAATTACAAGCTGCTGTGCTTACAAGGGGCGTTGAAGAGGGCCGTCATCTTTTGAACGGCACACTGAACAGCTTGGCCCAAGAATTAGAGGAAATGTCACAAGCACAGGTGATTCAATTCATTTCATTCAATTTCGTTTTGTCATGCCTTGCTCATCATCTTATGAATTTGACGATATTCATTGTTATGCAATACGCACTCGGTTACGTTTTGGCTTTTCGTAGTGCTTCTGACACTTCTCTATATTCTATATTCTTTTTAATTTTTATTTTTATTTTTGAATTTTTTTTTCATGCTCACCACATTAAACGTATGTAGACTTGCTTGTTGATGTAGATGTAAAATGAAAGATTGACACTTAATTCAGTAATAAAGGTTATATATAAAAAATTGCATCTGCTAGCAAACACCTTAAGCGCGTCAAGATCATAATTCAATAAATTCGCGGAATTCTCTCAAATAAAATCTTAATTCAATAAGTGAATCTCTTGACAATGATTTCAGTTTGGAAAAATTTCAATTTTTAATTTTTCGCAGATCTTTCATACATTTTCAAGCGCTTCTCTTTTATAATTTTTTGTCATAATTTTTGGTTGCTATTTTTACAATATTTTTCAATTATTCGTATAAAGAAATAAGTTTTATATATATATAATCCATATGTATATATATATATATATATATATATATATATATGTGTGTATATATATCTATATATAAGTTGTAAATCTGTTCTCTCATTTTTTAACACCTGAAGACTGAAGCGAATTAACTGAAATTTGACTTGATCTTTGTATTTGTTTAAAAATTTTATTGCAGGGGTCTGTGGATTCGACCACATTAGCGTCCTTAAGTCAGGTAAAGTCGTGAGATAATCATTTTATTTTAATCGAATTTTTGTTTTTAATTTTTTCTTACGCACACTAGGAATGCGTGGTATGGGCACTAATTTATATACTGTTCGTTACGTAAAATTAAAAAGGGCGTAAAGCACATTCTTCAGATTTAATGGCAAAAACAAAAAAAACAAAAAAATTGGAGAAAATTTTCTTAATAATCATCAATAGCTCCGATAAACTATAAGAATTATATAACTATTTTCGTGTGACAGAACGTAATGTCTTTAATCGTCGAATCAAAGCCAGACGCTTTGACACCACTTTTCTCTAACGATATAATACATTTGATTAATACGGTCAGAAGGTCAGACACACGAAGCTTGTAACGGATACATGCACGCGTCAATCTAGTTTGGTTCACTTTTTATTACAACAAACACTCACGTGCTCACAGACGTTCGTAATCAAGAAATACACGCGCGGAAACCCCTTATACAGACATACGGACGAGCTGCTATTACGCCCTCGGCTGGTCTATACTCTGCCTTACCTACCCCTCCTCTTCTCCTTCCGTTCATAATTTTGTGTAGGAGACAGGCACAATTGTATACATGTATACATGTTTGTATGGTTTTTTTCCTTTCTAAAAGGCAAGCGAATATTTATGCTGATTTTTGAACCTATCCTCGTGACGAAGAACTGAAGATGTTACTTATCCTTGCGGCCAGTATTTTGTGCACATACCCATAGCTTCCAACTAAAGGCATACACGCATTGATATTAGGGTCGCGGGGTCTCGGACGCATTTTTGTAACAAATGCCTCTTTTTGTTTCTCAAATTTTGCGATTATAAATACAAACGATATCGTTATACGATGCATGGAGTTTTTTGCTTTTAAATGAAATTTTTATTCGCTACCTACAATTTTACAACAGCCCCCATTTACTTTCCGATAATTGCACAACTGGCTCGTCTGTCTCGTGAAAGGAACCGAACCGATGAATATCGACGAATATGACGATTGCAAATTTATTGATTTTCGTCGTTCCGAAAAAAATTGAGCAAACAATCAAGTTATTAAAATGAGTTCGGCTAAGAGTAGTAGTAAAAAAACTTAACAAAGACATCTTTATTAAAGCAGAGAAAATTCCGAATGTAAAAAATAACAATAAATATCTCATAAGGTATCCGAATAACATATAAAAGCATTATTTTATTTTATTTTTTTTTTTGTTTCGAAATACAAATGAATTATTATAAATATGAAGCATACGAGAAAATGTCAATTACGCCCTTTATAATGCATTCTTAACGATATATTACATTCTTGAAGAGAATTAAACTATTTTTAAAGACGAAAACAATTTTTTTTTTTTTTTTTAGTATAATAAAAGAATTATTTTACTCAAAGTTTTAATCAAACAAACAAGCAATGTTTCTATAAAATATTCGATAAAATTTTCGCTTAGAAATTCTGAAAATTAGTCCCCCGACGCATCTTGTCGGAGAGTATTTTCGACTGACAACTGCACGGTCGTGCGTTCAAATTTTAAGTGCAATAGAGTTTCCAAGAAAGCTGATAGTGCTTCAAGACTTTAGTCTTGGAATATATTTCTCTGCATAAATTAGTTATAATATATATCTTAGGCATTATGACTATCACCTGCCAGGCATTCAGGAAATTTTTGCCTCAATTGCCTTATGCTAATCTTTCAAAAATTTGTAAACATTTTAACATTTTATTGAACGTTGTTTGAATGTTGCTTTTTTATCTGCTTAAAACTTTCAATAAAATGATAATTCTTTGAATATATTTGAAAAAAATTAAAGAAAATATCCTCTTATTCTCTTCAAAAACAAAGTAACTCCTAAGAATGGTAACCATTCATTTAATATGATTTCGTTAATTAATACCATATATATATATATATATGCTTTCAGTAATTATTACGTAATTCGTTTTAGAGAGTGGTTTGGGAATGGTTTTGGTTATATTAAATCGTAGATCTGAGTACTTTTGCTTTTAATTTTGAAATAGTATTTAAAATTGTTTAAATGATTTCTTTTGTTGTTTCTTCTTTTCAGCTGCAGCAAGCTTTCCAGGAGAAAGAGGAAGAGAACACCCGCCTCAAGCATTACATTGATACGATATTATTGAATATTGTAGAAAACTATCCGCAATTATTGGAAGTTAAGGCCATAGAGAAAAACTAATAATAAAAAGACATCAAAATTTATATAGAGTTAATGGATAGATAAAGCAATTAAGCCCTGAACAAACAATAATAATCCTTATACCAATCATTCATGGAAATTCCTACTTAGTATTAAAATAACAACAAATTAAATAAAAACAAATTACACATTTTTTTCAAATATTATTTTTATATAGACATTATTGTTTACTTTCTTTTTGCAAAATTTTGTAACTCAAACTGTCTCTCAAATATCTTTTTAGTGTTTTAACCCTCAAATAATTGCCCATTGAAAAAAACTATATCATTTTATACTAAACAACATACTTTTTAAAATCCATTTACAAAATTATGATTTCACATGGATCGTTGTTTCATAAAATTAAACGCCTTAAGGTTATCAAAATGTACGTATATATAATTGTTGCAAACTTATTGTAGAATCCCGTAGTTATTGTAAATCACTTTTATATAAATTTTACAAGAAAAAATATAAAAAAACACAGAAAAAAAAATTAAAAAAAATAAAAGCATGAAAAGCATTGAGAAAAAAAAAAAAATTGAAAATAAACTAAAACATGTGATTATGTACGATTGTAATTGATTTCTTAAGCATTGTGACATTAATCTTTTTTAATAAAGCGAAATCGGGAAAAAATGTCGTGCAAATTGTTAATCTAAAGAAACTAATATTTGAAACAAATAAAGTACATTTTTAAGATCAAGCAAGCAACAAAAAAATCGTCTCTAATATATACTCATATATATATATATATATATATATATATATGTACAAATCTTTTTCTACTGTTTACTATATTACTATCAAGTTTTTGCAGTTTTAGTTAATATAAACAGTAGAGAAAATGTGGAATATTATGTTAAGATATTAAAGCAACAGGACAACATTTAGTCTATTAAAAGAAATTTAATGAATGACGTGAACATAGGGAGAACCTTATGCATAAGAAGGTAAAGTAATAGAAATCGCATAGAGGAAGTAAAAAAAAGGGAAAAAATTGAATCGAATCTATAGCATGAGCAAAGTTTCATGACAACCGATACAATGGTATGCTCGATAGTAAAATAGCAAAATTGTCAATGCAATATTGAACACAAGATACATATTTTAGAAAGTGTGCGTAGGTGTAAAAGGTTGCGAATAAGTTTGAGATTTTTATATTGAATAACATGGAGACGCTTAAAGTATCTTTTAGTTAAGTTAAAATGTGTCTGATACACATCGGCATATACGTGTATGGGCAAAGGCCGATGTTCGTATGTGGGGATTCGTAATACACTAAACGGCTTATACGTGGTTTACTGCCAGATGGTTCGCGGTATTTGGAGAACGTTTAACTCTATTGAAATCCTCGATCTGACCAGTGGGAAGAAAGTTGAGAATGCTTTCCCTGTATTGCGTCCACAACGCGCCATAGTCGGCAATGTCATCGATAAAACAAAATGAAACGAAAAAATGTTGAAATGAAACAGAAGAAGAAGAAGCACATGCAAATAAACTAAATAGATTACATATGCCGCCACAATCACTTGATACTGGATCATCTCAACAATACAGCGCACGGAACGAACTAAATCGAGTTAGAATTAGGGAATTAAGACAATCTTCGTTATATAATGATCGAAATAAACATTGTGACAGTATTACGCAAGCAAATTAATCGGTTAAATCAATTAGAAAAACTTGACTTCGATAGATCGGAAACTGGAACTAGGATCGATTTATATATGGCGATATCGAAAGTTGTTTTTATTCGATAGTAAGAAAAAGAGATGCTCTACCGATCCCTGTGAACCCACTACTGATTTACAATGAATCGTTAAGTGGCAGCTGTCGAGCTGACTCGATATAGACGTAATAAAAAACCGCTATAAACCGCTCTCTGTATCCGAGAGAATGGTAATGCCTTGGCGCTCTCAATGCACATTGAACGGGAGTGCAAAGATGGATAGTGCGGATTTAATCGTAATGGCGCTGAAGTTAGCTAATGGAGATTAGAACTTTCATGGTCTGGTAGGCGTTATATTATTTGCAAGTAGTCTACCAGGCATTGATATATTGTAGTCATCTTGTCTGCGAGTATAGGGTTTAACTTGTAGGAATCGACGTCATGGTTTTCGCTAAGAGTAGTGCATACTTTGCATCGACGGAAAGATAAAAAATCCATGGCTCAAGATTGAAGAATTGGCACATGCGGTACATGGCGGGACTACAACTTATTCCGGGACGTTTTCAAAAACGACTTTTAAATCACAAGGGAATTGAATTCGTACAATTTGATATATGTTGCTTTGGTTTTTATTAAATTCAATTTAAATCCATTAATTTTTCAATAAAGACAGTGTCCATTGAAGCTGGACAAACTTTTGTAACAATGAGAACACACCGAACTGTATTTTCTTTACGAATAGCATTGGAAAGATCGATGAGTTGGTGGGAGTTGTTTTAGGTGAAGCCTAAAAAATTCTGATTAATTGTCAAGATTTTGTTTCTCCGTTTCGATTTCATACCATAAACAGAGTGCCCATAAAATTTGAGTGTAGTAAGATTTGTCAAAAAGCAAAAGTTCCGTCATGTCAAGCACTGAAGCTTTCCCATCAAGCACAAGAACAACGCGACCAATGTGGTTAAAAATCGAAGGGATTTTCTTTAAACTGAAAAAACTCATAAAAACCTTCGGCAAAACGTTTTTTATTATTTTCTAAGAAAACTTTATACTAACTCTTAATTGTCATTTTGAGCATTTGGAGGCAACCTTGCATCACAATCGATTTATCAGCTTGTTTTGTCATATTGAGCAAATATTTTAAAAATTAATGCTTCTCATTTATTGTACAAGAAATCAAGTGTTGGACTATTAATAGGTTAATTAAGTCCTTTTTTTTTTTAACTAAATTTGTTTTAAAGATTATGGAAATGTTTGGTTGTAGTAGTGACTTTGTAAGTTTAATCTCTGTCTACTTTTATTTAAGTTTAATGAAATCAAGTCAGATTTCTTCCCGATCTCAAAGAGAACACTTTCGCCGTTACCGCTTTTATATTCAAACTTTATTTGTATTGTCCTCTCTTCAGTGCTTCTCTCAAAAGATCTTAGAAAATTCTTTGAAAATTATTTTCTTTGAGCAATGAAAATATATATATATATATATATATATATAAGCTAAACGTGAGCATTAGAAAATAGGCATAATATATGTAGATTGGATCAGAAAAGGCGTATACAGCGTCTCTACTGGGAACTGGTCCTCCTGACTGTGTTAAGCTTACCTGCGTTTTTGTGCAAGCGTTTGTAAGCAAACGCCTTTATCGAATCAAAAGGTTATTGCAGAGAATAGGCCAAGATGTTAATTGATGGGGAAAAGGCAAAAAAGATTGATTGATTGTATTATTAAAACTATATGAATGTAGAGTTTTTCCGTGTGAACGGTGGAGGAGGAAACAAAAATGCATTTTTTTAGAATGCTTCGAAATGAGGAGACGGACATTGACTATTTGTAAAAAGTTTTAAATTTGTGCTGAAACTTCCATTGGTAGCAGCACTACAAGTGTGAAAATTGTGTATAATTGGATTGCGGTACATTCAAGGCAATCTGTTTCCCGGCTATCTCTTTGTTAACATGGCGTTCGAATTTTCATACAATGTCGCAACAAGCGATATAAAAAGCTTCACATTTCTACATGAATTGTTTTTTGCAGTTTGGCCTCCAGATTGTTATTATTAGCCCATAAAAAAGAAAGGTTGAACTAATTATATCATAAAATCGAATATATTTGCAGTCTGACAACTCTTTGGAATCATTCTAGACTTATATTTTCCCAGTAAACCAAGTCTTCTATTGTACCCTTTTCTTCTCTATACATAATTCTTCCCGATCGACACGGTTTCTACATGTGTAGGGAATATCTCCTGATTCGACTCTTTCCCCCGTACTATTCTGCAATTCTTTTACATCAAATATTGTATCTGAAAGCGTTATTAAAATTATTGAACATAGTTTGCGAATTCAGAATTTTTTTACTTCTTACGGGTGAGATGTGAGTTACACTGTTTACCGCCGGTTGGAATGTGAAACACGAACGATTACAATCTAAAATTTTAAGATCTATTTTTCAATTTATTTATCTAGCGGTGTGTTCTCATTCATTCGAAAAATTCGTCTGCAGTACTTTCAATAGTGAGGTGTAGGTAGGAAAGACGCGATAACATTAGTAATTTATCTTAGATAGTATGAGCAGATAAAACAAGAAGTAATTTCCGCATTTAAGAAAGAAAAATTAATAAAACTAATAGCAAGGAAATGGATTAAGACATTAATGAAAAGAGAGGTTTTTATAAATAAAGTCAAACAAATAATTATTATTTGTTAACCTAATTTTATTACAAGGAAATCGTTTGTAAGCAAATTCAAGTTCTTCGACCCGACACAAACATGCATAACTAACCGGCTTTCTCTGTTGACACATTTCGTCATTCTGTTTATTTGCATCCTTATTATCATATTTTCATGTTCATATTAAATAAATGAAATTTATATAAAAGCTTTGCCATCTGCATATGAATGCATTTCAAATGAAATTGAAAAACATGAAAGTTTCACTGATATTTCTTGCAGGTATTCACAAATCGAATAAATGATAGTTTCGTACCGCGTTAAAGAAATTTTCTTTTATTTTATTCCATAACAGTTCTCCTCTGTTACGCTGAGGCGGGAAAAACACAACTTTTGTGCACCATCGTGCCGTATATGAATAGTCAGCCACATCAATACTTTACGACGAAGCCGACACCTAAACGATCTATGAAAGATTGTGATTTGCTGTGCACTAAGTTTAATTTTGATCCGGTTTGCGCTACCAATGGCTTTTGCGTTCACGAATTTGCAAATCAATGTGTTTTGGATGTTTTCAATTGCCAGCATCCTACCAAACGATTTATGGCAACCAAGGATGAAAGATGTCGTATGCATTGGCTGAAACGCTGTGATCCCGATGAGGTGGCCTTGATTTAGTTAAAGGCATACATCTTGGACACTAATGAGGAACGAAGGGCTTCAATATGCAGTTTTGCCTTCAAAATAGATTTAATGCCAAGAAAACTTGTATGTAACTTGTTTATCTTGCGTAGGCAGTTAAGAACACTTTGTCACGCAATCAAAATTAAATAAATTTTCATCCACTTAATAAAAGAATATTAAGTAAATCTTAAATTCTGTGTATGTATGTATGTGTGTGTGGGTTTTTTTTTTTTTTTTTTTTTAAATTTTCTTTAAAAACTTCGTTAATAAATTTATTTAACTCAATTCATTTTATTTATTTTGTCAGAAGTTTTCCGACATTTTTTTTCCGATTATAAATTTCATTTTGAATATTTGTTCCAACGAATAACTTCTTTAATATTTACTACTGTTTTATTATATATCGCTATTTATGTCACATAGCCTTATATATATAGACATAGATGTGACCCGTACAAACTCTTTGAAGTCTGAATCAAAAAAAAATTTTGAAATCTTCACTTTTTGGGGAAAATGACACGAGCCTTTTATTTGATCTGTTATAAACTAAATTGTATTCAAATTAACGAATGTACAGGAAGCAATCAGCGTAAGTACTTCACTCGACAAATAACGAAATAAGAAAGTAACTTGAAGGGAGATATAACTCGTGAAACAAGTTGAAAATATCTGCAAAGAGGGAAAAACTTTTTAACTTCTATTAACCTGTCCTGAGGCGTATATAACCAGTTTGCAACTGGCACAGTCGACTCGTATTACCAAATATCAATTATTAACTAAACGAGAGACGCATTTCCCTATACGAACTTTGCAAACTTCAATTTTAAATATTGTTTGGCAAAAATTAGTCGATAAAATACCATAGATCGAAAAACTATGACTATTCTACCACTTCGCAAGCGCGATTCAATTACATTCACACAAAAAGAATATATATATATATATACAAGATTTTTTATTCAAAGTATTTGTGTATCGCTAGACTCAATTTTTCTATTCATAAGAGTAGTGTATGAATTCAATGTCAAAAGTATGTGGAGTCTATGCACGGAAGCACTTTTTTGGGTTTTGTAATAAGAATCGAACCATTGCTCCGCCAGGCAGAAGTACGACTCTCTGGTGAATATCAAAGGCAGGAGTGGCAGAAGGTTTACAATATTCCACTTCAGTGGTGTTAATGTTTGCTGCATGCCGCCTTTTCAAGCATCGCCTTGCTGAGAAGTCATTGTGTAATAATAGATCGGATTGCATCAGTTGCTTTGGCGTTTCGGAAGACTTCTATCACCTTTTCTACATTACTGGGTCTTACTCTTTTATTCCTATCCTACTTTTTATAAAAGCATCGTGTCTCTACAAGTTCCGATCTACAATCAGCTAATGTAAGTTTAAGATTGGATTCTTAGGCAATCCCCACTAATTGATCATTGTCGTATAAATCGTATGATAAAATAACTTACCACTTGCCACTTGAGGGGTTTTCGTTCTGCTTCTTTATCTACCCAAAATGCCGTCCATGAGGTCAACTCCTTCTATATGGATATGTCACTAAGATTTTGTGACCTTCATAAACCACTACTTGTTCCTTGTAGATTCCTCGCATTAAAGAGTCTTTCATAAAATCATTTACAGCTGGCAACTTGCAACCCTTCGCGAAACGATAAACAATTGAAAGTCTACTTGATTTTTCCTATGTCTATCGGAATTCACGTAACGGTACTTATGTGATAAAGGCATGACGTAGACGTTTGGCAACATACAGCATATCCCAAAGCTTGTCATATATTCAATAAAAATTTTCTACATCAAAATCAAACATCCTTACATGACAAGGAGGATGAGGAGTAACTTCCTTCGATTCAATACGATAAATCACACGAAAATACAAAATATTTCTCCAAGTAACACGCTGAACTTTATCGCTTACCACGTACACACATGTCAAAGAAAGATATAACTTAACCGCCACAAGTCATTTCGATTATTTTCCTTCATACATTGCTTACTGTTTACGGTTATCGACTTTCGTTCGGGAACGTACCCATTAGGCTTTTGAAAGAAAATTATTTGGAACTGGTATGCAGATAATTGGTAACAGTATGCATTTAAGGGATAAAGGAGACAGATAACGAGAACGTATTTATGTACAATCGACTTTTCACATCCTTGATGAAATTTATCTAAACTTGTATTTCTTTATACGGAATCATTTTTATTTAATAATTATTATTATTATTATTATTTATTTATTCAATTGTGGCCCAATTCCCATTGTTGGCATAGAGGAGCACCTGTTTGCTTGCATTTAAAATCGTCCAGGATAATGAAAACCTTCTCAGGGTGCTCGCAATTATATGCCGAAATTTGGCATTCACCTTTAAATTGTTGCATACATTGACCGTTGCCTGCGCAAAGCAATCTCTCTGTGTCCGTGCAACTGAAGCTGCATTGATTAGGTAGCCGTTCAGTGGGCACAACCACAACTTTGGCCACACTTAAGGTAAAATAGCCTACAGAATAAGAAATTGTTAAAAAGGAAGATGTTTTTCGAAGCAACGATTATATCGGCAAATCTTACCCAACAGCAAAAGATTAGCGGAAAATGTCATTTTTATTAAGTTTTTGGAAAAACTTGTAAGTCCCCGTATAAATAGTAATTGGGTTAATGTCGTTATGAATATATGAGGTATGAGTATATGAAGTATTTATACCGATCTCAGGATGTTTGCTTAAAATATCCTCGAGAAAATATAAAAATAAATTAATTACGATTTTGTTTATTAATAACGCTCATCGACCGTTACGTGAATTAAATTAAAAATATACTTTTCGAACATTATAAGTTACGTTAACGTTATACAGTTGAGCAATTAGCCAAAATTATTAACCGGTCTTTTTTCCTTGTGTGAGAGAAAAAAAAAGCACAAAAAAAGTTTTGCAATAAAAAAGAAGCAATTAGCATAATTTTACTAAAGTTAAAAATATCAACAGCAGCATCACAAAAACATTCAGAACTTTACAAGACGTAACAAAGAAACTCTCACACAGTATATAAACCGGATGTGAAATGAGGGCAACAGTCAGTTGTTAAAAGACACCGAACGCGTATACAATGAAGATTTTTATAATTTTAGGTAAGCAACAAATAATAAAGAAATTTTTTGAAATAAATTGTTGCTCAAAATTTTAATTTAAACAATTTTAAGCTCTCTTCTGCTGTTGCCACGCAGTTGATCAACAGCAGCAACAACATCAACAGCAACATCCGCAACAACATCAACAACAACAGCAACCGCAACAGCACCCTCAACACCAACACCAACAACAACAACAACAGCAGCAGCCTCAAATCCAGCAACATCAATTGCAGCAACAGCAACATCAGCAGCCAGATACTCCACAGCCAACTCAACAATCAGTTAGTCATCATGTACAGCAAGTTCCTCAGCATCATGTTAGTCATGTTATGCAACAAGTTCCGGTTGCCCAGCAGCAAGGATGGACAAGCAGTACTGGAGGTCAGCAACAAAAGCCTCAGAAAGGACAACAAGTTGTCCAGGTAAATAAGTGAATTTGTTGAATTAATTTTGTGCCTCGGCATGATTGTTAAAATATATAAATTACAGCAACGTGTACATGAAGTTATGCAACAGGTTGAACAACATGTACCGCAGGTTCTCAATCATCATAACTCCTTAAAGAAGAAACAGCAGGAGACACAACAAGCACAACATCAGCAACATCAAACAACGCAAAGCAAACCGCAAAATGCTCAAAATGAAAATCAAGGTAACCAATGACATCTTGACGAACGATCAAATTGACAATATATGTAATGGTTAATAAACAGGTACACAACAACAAGGTGTAACAAGGTCCAAGCGGTCTACGACAAGTGGAGTTCCAGTTGGAGAGCAGGTTAACAAGCCTGTGACACAAGCAAGCGTGCCACAGGGATCTCACCACACGGTTCATGTCAGTCAGCAAGCTTCTAGTCAAGCACCTCATGTAGTTGATCAGGTGGTAAAAGGTGGAAATCGTGTGCAAAGTGCTGTTCAGGTGGTTCATCATGGGTCACATTTTGTCGATCAAACGTCGCAAGGAGTCAACCGGGTGCCGGAAACTCATGTACCTCATGGCACTCCCGCCAGCGGTCAAGCTCCGGTCGGAGCAAGTAGTGGTCAACACGGTGGTCCTCAAAGTGTCGATCAAACAGCCACTGTACAAACTGGTAGCGTTCAAGTACCTCAAGTTGTTGCTGCTCATGTAGCTGGTCAAAGCGCTCATGCACATCAAGGTTCTGCTCAAGGAACACAACACGGCTCTCAAGTGGGTACAGTCGTAGCACACTCTGGCGTCCAACAAGGCGTTCATCAAGTCAAGCAACCAGTTTCTCCTGGCGCTAGTTCATCAGTTCAACATGGCGTGCATGATGTTAGTCACATAGTTAAAGGAGAGAATGTTGCACACCAAGATAATACCCAAGGAGTTACGGGACATCCCGTTAAAGTGAAACGAACTACACCGCACGTAACGCAAGTCACCACACCTGGAAGTGTTCAAGGCGTAGTTACGCCAGTCTCGCAGCATATGCCACAGACAGTGAATTCGCCGGCTGTGACTAAGCCTCAACATGTCGGAGCAGTTGTTTCACAGGCATCGCAGGCTGTTAGTCAATAAAAGCAAATGAAAATTACAAAAGAAATGAACTCAAATCAATGAAATTAAAAGAGATAATCTACTGTTTGAAGTTCCCTAATGTAAACTTCTTGAAATCTTCCACGTAATTAAATGCATTAAATTAGTAACTTAAAGATGGAAAGGAATGTAAAAAACAATAATAAATACCCAGAAAGCAATAAAAACGTTGCTCTTTAAAGAAAACCTTCTATGTTTTATTTGTGTACGATTGGTAGCTCATGACGACGCAAGCACGTAACTCCCCTAAGTAACGGCTAATTTGAGTCAACAGTTTTAATATTTTTGAGGATACGGCTTGAAGCTATGGAACTTATGAACGTAAAGTATATTAACACATCTTTTCTGCCCAATTGATTTTTAATTACTCAGATTGTGCCACATACACAGACACACAGACACGCACAAAGTCTGTCGATGTTAAAAATTTAATTGTGAATTTCTGCGCTTTTAAATATTCTATCAACGGTTAAAAGAAATTAGCATTAACATCAGAGCAGCTGTCGATTGCTTGCTCCAACAGAAGCCTTTCCAGCACTATCTTGCCTCATCCACAGCGATACGATCAGTATCAAATGAACACCTTTCAAGCATTACATACGAACTGGTTTTCCAAGCTTTCTTCTCTGCTTTGCTTTGGATACCCGCTCCGCATATAAAGATTATTTGTTTTCTGGACTTACGTTCTTTAGGTAAAAGGCAATTACGTATATTCATAAATTTTTATAGTATATAATTAACGCAACTCATTTTTGCTACATCACTCATATGCAGTAGGGTTGGAAGAAATATTTATTTTTATACCCTATGCTACCCGTGGTAAGCGTATATTAATTTAGTGCATGTGCATGCAACATTCATAGCGAAACACTTGAGATAGAAGTCATTTTTTCTTAATTATACATGGATATCTGTCTCTCCCGCCGCCTGATATCTGTCCATGTATTTTCGAGACATATTCAGGAAATTTGGAACATTGCTCGATTGGAAATGGATCGAGTCGGAGCATTTCTATCTCCACTCCCTAAATAAATATATATTTCGGTGTACTAAATAAATTTGGAAAACTGGGAATGGACTTTTTTGGTGCCCACACTCCACTCGTAAACTGCTTTACAAAAAAATTATCGCTTATGACGCAACAAAGTCTCATTTTTAGTATATTACAGTGACAGTGGATTGCAACGTAGTTTGATGGTAAGTTTCAATTATATAGGTCTACTTTCGGGTCACCTCTCCTTGTGACGGTTCTTATGAAAGATAACTCTTTAGAAGGCTTCAAAATTTTATTTTTGGTATTTTATGATAAAAGTATGGTAGATATGGTGTAATACGTTCTTTAACATTTTGCAGGGGAAAATGGTATCAGGCCCTTAATACACGGTCTTGGCTCGGTCTTTTAACTTGCAACATTCGGGTAGGTTTCAATTCCAAAACATCTTTTAACTTCCATATTTAATCTGCCACTAACAAATTAAGCACTTTTTTCGGTTTTCTCACCGAATGACGTAATTAGAACGCGACGAGCCGTGTATGCATATATATTATCAAGAGTTTGTTTGTGTCATTGGTGAGACAGAGCTTGGAATATGTCGCAATTATTTAAACTCCTAGTTAGAATAGCTACTCGGAGATGTTTAAGTCTGCGTAGAAAAATTCCTTTGGAATGCTATCCGAACGTCATACTTCACTCGGTTACTTTTAATGCGTTTATTGTCGTCTCTAACATTGATGCTAATATTAATGCTTTTAAAAAGTTTACTTTATTGAAAATAGAGAAATAATAGGGTCATACTTGCTGAATGAGATGGATTTCTATGCTTGGACGCGCTAAGAGCGTCCGGGCACCACAAGCTTTTTGCATTGCCTTATCTCAATGCGGTACACGGTTGCGGATTATATATGAAAACTTTAACGATGCACAACATATATCCTCGTTGATAGAGAACGAGGTGATTGTTAAAAAAAAAAAAAAACTCCTCGAAAACTAGTCTGACGTAATGGTTGCTCGAGAATCGGTAATGCATGCAGGATGATATATTGGGAAAATGGCATATATATACTTAGTGAGGAAGGATCCAGCAAATCAAGGTGCCTATCGACGAAGGTCTGCATTTCCTTATCGCGCGGAAAACGTCCAATTCGCAGTCCATTGTTAATGCTTTTAAATTAACTTACTTCCCTTCTTCATCTAATAAAAATCTCATTATGGTCGATAAAGCTTTTGAAATCTTTCCTTCTTTAACAGGAATCTCGTTTTCTTTCTGTCTAAAACAGAGAGCAATTTACCTTTCCTCCCAGATCGAACGAGTTCCAATTCTCTTTGGATACGCAGGCTAATTTCGACTTTGCGTACCCGCTAATTGAATGAATGTCGCTCTCTAGCTCTCCGATATTGAGGTGCTAAGATATGTCACAAACATAGAAAGCTATGCGCTGAGCTCAATGCTCACCATTGCACTAATTATTGAAATAGCGTATAATGAACGAATTATGATAGGTGTGACATTACACAAATAAAAAAAAAAAAAAGAGGTTGATCGTTCGAAGTAACTTAACTGCCATGCTTACGTTTACACGATTAAATGTGTTATTTTTATTTTATAATATCTTCAGCAAATTACTAGAAAAGAAACTTGTTTGGGATTTCTGGACAAAAACTTAGCATTTTCAATTAGCATAATTAGCGTATAAAGCGGACCATGGGCGCATTTTAAACTAGAAAGAGAAAAAAAAAATATTAGGTGCGTCGACTCATTTCGATAATTTTTTCACTCGAAAAAATCATTTATTGATTGGTATAACATATGTTCATCAAAATATTTTGCATTATTTTCTATAACTTTTCCATCTATCCGGCAACAGAGTGATACCGTGTCGAACGAACGAACTATCATTTGGTAGCATTTCGAAATCGGGTACCATTCAAACTGTGCTATGTTTGTGAGTAGGTATGTAGGCTGGATGCTGGGGAACATCCCATGCAATAGTGTGTCCTTCGCAACTAGCATGAGGACGACTTCGGGCCTATTAACGGCTGTTGCCGGTCTTTCTCGCAACAATGCATCGTTCAATTTTTTCAATTGACGTCGAGTTCATTCGGTGCAGTAACAGTTTCATTTGGTTTTAACAGGTCGTAATACATTACACCTTGCAGATTCCACCATAAGCACAGCAAAACTTGATGGCCATGAATATTCCGCTTCATTGTAGATTAACGCATGACTTCTTGCACTTGGGATTGTCGTAGTAGATCGATTCCCTTTTCATCGCCAGTCACAATACGCCAGAGAAAAGTGTTCTTTTTTTGCTTGGCAACAAATGAAATCTTGATGTTGTAACGGTTCGAAGCGGCCTTTTCAATCAATTCGTATGGTAGCCATTTTCCTCTATTTTCCTCCTTTTGGTTTTTTCCTATCGTATGTAAACGTCTAGAAGTATTTGATTCATCAACTGCTAAGCTGCTCGAAAGTTTGTGCGCTTCGCGAATTTAGGCTAAGTTTTCGTTCAATAAGTCTTGAGACTTCATTGCCTTTAAACTTTTCTTTATCCTTCAGGCTGTTCTTTGGTATTGCGCGTTGCTTTATCATTTTCATCAATAGATGTCGATGATCAAACTACATGCAAGCACCTAATAACTTCTAAGACACGGCGACGGCTTGGGCATGTAAATATCACAAAAAAGAGAAAGCCCAAATTATTTGATAATATGATATACATATATATATATCTATATATATTTGCTTTTTTTTTGGGTTAAGTTAATTAGTAAGTTTTGTGTTTATTATCATAATGAAATGTGTGCTATTAACGCGTCCATGTATATGTGCATACCTATAAGTTTAATAAATTGTTGCAAGTTGTCGTAGATTACGAGCTCGCATTATTTCTCGCGCGAAATTTCTCTTTTTGCGTTATTCGCAATATCTATATGAAATCATTGAAGATCCGAAGTGAAATTAAGGTATGGTTTAGAGCAAATATGAATGTGTGTTCGGAGGCCTTTTTCGCATCTTCATTACGTAGTAGTAGAAGTGCTTTTAATGTTTTGAAAGCCGAGTGGTTAACTGTAAGATGAACGATCCTGAAATAAGCGCTGTTTTCACAAGTACACCAGTCACTCTCAGCGTTCGCACACTTTCTACGAAAATATATTGCATGTTAATTTATCAAAACTTGGTGTTAATTATATTTTCACCAGAGACCTATAACTACACAATGCATTAACAAGCCATTTAGCACGCCCATATATCAAGTCACTGACATACTATTCGTTGTATTTGCACAAATTAATTATAACAATAGCAACAACAATAACAAGAACAAGAACAACAACAACAACAACAAAACAGCAGCAATAACAATAGCAATAGTAGCAAAAAATATCGTAAGAATAATAAAAATATCAAAACCGTATAAGATAAGATTCTGGTTTATGGCATATTACGATCGACTTTGCATAGCTTAAGTAAAGACAAAGCATGACAAAGACAAGCCTTAGACCGAATTAGTTAATACTCGCCATTTGTTTTTGTTACGCTTCTAATATCTTTGGCGACTACTATATCTACAAATTGAAATGAATATGAATAATGATAACTGTACGCATACATACACATAAGCCTACGTAGTTAATATGATTTGCAAGAATACAACTAAAGATTACTACAATGAACATAGACTATTTAAAAAGCGTACGCCACTAGCATAGCCCACTAATTTATAGATTTTATCCTTTCGTGCACGAACGTTCGCATCGGTTTAACTAAGTTTTTCGATAATTTAGAGGAGAAAATGAAAGAAAAGTTTAGTTTACAACTAAGTTTGATTTTTGTAGATAAGGTTTTTAAAAAGTGCATATGATTGCGGTAGAAAGACAAATCGCCGGCTTAATCGCTTTTGCCAATCATCATCTTATTAAGTAAATTGAAGGGATCGCTGCGACGCATATGGTCATGCGCTACAAACTTTTTACCAACTCAATGCACCACCTGTGGTGAGTATGATATAAGAAGGCGAAACCAAAAAAAAAAAAAAAAAACAATTCTCTCGTGTTCACGTGCAACACATTCGCATATTTATTAAGCACACTGATTTGATTAATTTCATTCAATACTCAGAGATTTATTTGTG